TAACTTAACATCCTTGTATCTTAGCAATTTTACACCTGTGTGCTTCTCTTAATATTAAAAAAAAGTATTTTGGAAGCTTGTTCTTCTGACTAATACTGCCGATTGCTTCCTGATATTTCATTATGTCTTTTTTCCATGGATAGTTCATTTTTAATATTTTATTTGTGGAAAAAAAATAATTTCTTGGGGGGATAGCCCATTTGGACTAGTCTGTGCATCAGAGGTAAGCAACTGTCTTAACTCTTTTTAAAGAATGCAGTCCAATTCTGATAAAGTGGGAGGCTATGAATTTAATAAATTAATTTTTAGCAAACACCTGTTGATAGTCATTCCCTGCACATTAAGTTCAGTATCTTAACTTCATGTTGTCCTTTTCAGACCAGGTTAATCTTGAACACATTTGGATTGGGCATTGGAGAAGGAAATTCACTCCTCATGCACACACTTTCTGCAGTGAGACCTTTGGTTTATTGTGGAGAGATTACCTGCCTTGGGGAAGTGCTTCACTTGCTGAACGCTGCACAGTAACTGAGAGGTTATGAAAAGCAGCAATTTAGCGTATTCCATAGAAAGTTGCAAGTGGAGTTTAGATGAGCAAATTGTAAGGTCTTTGGTTTAATAATTACAGGCTAATATTGCACACAAGGTCCACAGTGTTTACTGTTCTTGGGTTGTTCATATAGCTTACCACTGGTTTCCTGTGTGCAACTACTGCAGTGTATAAGCTGGTAGGGGGTGGTGGACATTTTCTCTTTTATTTCCGTCCCTATTATTTCCATGATGATACACAGTGGGATAATAGGGTAAAGCATTTTGGACCATTATTTCCTCAGTTGCTGCAGTTGTGAATCAGATTCCTAAGCGACCGAGCTGAAATTTGCACAAAGCTGCTGTTCAGAATTGCTTCTATCCTGCGAAAGTCTTTCCCTGTTATGACAGCTAACTAGGGCTGAAAGGCACACCCGGATGTTTCAGCTGGAAATAGTAAAAAATGTTATCCTATTTACTGCTCATTAGCCAAGCTAAAAACTGGAGCTATTTAACATGGTGTATCAATATGATATTTCTGCTGTCACCTCTTAGGGCACCATGGCTGCTAATATGTATTATTATGGCACGTATGCCAGCAAGACTCAGCAAAATGTAAGAAGTAGAATTCATTGCTGAAACAAATATATTCATTGAATATCTCAGCATTTTTGTCTTCCTTTCCATTCATGTAATTTTCCCATTTAATTTCCTTCTACTTACTTTTATTTTCCTGTTTAGTTAGGGGGCTTTTTCTCCACACCTGTTGCAGAGACTGATTGAATTGAGACTCTAGAAACATGGGGAGATTTTTAACTGGGTTTAATCCATTTTCTGCTTGAGCCCACTTGAAACTTTTTTGTTAATTTTTCTTAACTGTAAACCAGCTATTACTGTCCTCTATTTTCCTGGGCAAACTGGAATGTCCTATTTGCTGGAAAGTGAATCTTCCTGTCCCTGTGCTTTTTTTCCTCCTTCCTTAACTGAGATTTTTCCTCTTCCCTCTTTTCCTGTTGCTTTTTTCACATTTTAGTCCCCATGCTCCCATCTGCCCGCATTCCCAGTAGTGTGTTTTGTATATTGTTTCAGTACTTCAGCTATAACCTACAGCTGTTATGAGGAAAAGCAGAATAAGACTGTCAGAATAAATAGTATTGGTTATTAACAGCAACTGCAGGAATACTTTAAAAAAAAAAAAGTGGTTAAACCAAATTAGTATTCAGGGCTTATGGACATTCTGATCTTGCAGGACCCTAGAGATAATGACTGTAGTTGGTCTTGGTATGGAAAATAGTGGATTGAGGGGTCCATTTCAATATCTGGTTTTAAAATACACGGTACCAACCACCACACTTTTAAAAAGATGATGAAGCTTTTGTGGAACAGATCTGTCAGATCTCCGCATTGAGGGGTGTAGAAGCTGGAGAGTCCCCCTTCATTGCTGCCATCTCCCTCATCTCTCTGGATTCATGAATTCTGTTCTGAATACCACTAAGGCTGTGTTAGGAGAGTTGTTCATAAAAAACAGAACCAGTAGGAGGGTTAGCAGGTCAAAAGAAGGTTTGTGTGTTTAAAGTGGCCCTTGGGGGGGTGGGGTGTGTGTAGGTGGAATAACGGAGAGAAATCCTTGCTGTTCTTGCATTGATCTCCAGGCCTTGGGATGTCTACGTGACTCTATTGATCACCATTAATCTCTCCACCTGGTAGCATTCCAGTCCAGATTTGTTTGCAATATTGAGGATAAAGTTGCTGAGCACTGCAGAAAGACCAGCGACTTGAAATTTGGTTTCACAGTGGTACTGGTACCCACTCCAGCGCTCAGCCAGCATGTGTCGTACCCTGTGCTGTGAGTAACAAAGGTGGTGTGACAGGTACCAGAAAGAGAATTAGGCTGCCAGGTAAGCTGGTGCAGATAGGCTCGTATGCGAGCTGCTCAGTGTGAGCATCATCTGGTGTTTGGAGCAGATTGTCAGAAAGCATGGCCCAAAATTCATGGGGTGGACTTCCTTTGGGGCATATGTGGTGGCTCTGAGACATTGCTATTTTGCATGTGTATTTTTAATACGAGACTGTATTGTGCCTGCCAGAGTGGTGATGGTACATAGTATGATTTTGAGGCTGCATGTTGCTTGTACCAGGGTTGTGGTGAAAGGAGTATTGAGTGTTTGCAGAAACATGGCTGGTTGGGGTAGCTGTCAGCAATGAGAGCAGTGCTCTTCTAGGGGTATGCAAGACCTCTACCAGCTAATTCGGTAGTAAGGATTTATTGAACAACTCTGATAATGCAGAAGGAGAAAAAAGTTTCTAGTTCTCCTCACTGTTGTTAATGTTGGCTGTGTAGGAGAGGGAAGTGATGGAGGTATGGTTTTACCACAGTATGTAAGTATATACGTCAAGGAGGTGCGCTGAGTGAGTGTGAAGATTTTTGTAAGTGAGGCCTGGGATCTGTTTGCATTTGGGTCTGCAGTCTCTATTTGTCCTGTTGGATAGTGCAGAAGCTGGATACTGTTTTACTCCTCTTAGCATTATAAAATGAGTTGCCCTCAGAAACAAGTAGTTGAGTTTACCATATCTGTGAATGTGTTACTGACTGCCCCTCAAAGTTGCTTTCCAGTTGTTTACCACAGGCTGACAGTAGATGTATATGGTTGTCCTGAACTGTGTAGATTTCCTTATTCTGTGGGTCGGCTGGATGTTAGGTGTTTCTCTGTGGCTCATGTTTTCTCTCCTGTTCTGACAACAGAGCTAACGGGTATCAACAGAAGGAAAACTAGTTCTGTTCATTCTCAGGTTTGGAGAGTAGTAGAGACTCATGCTGTCAAATCCTTACAGGCTATTCTGATGGTTTCCCATGTGGAAAATCAGGGGAAAGGATGTAAATTAGAGCACTAAACTAATTTTTCTGTGTCTTTTAAAACAATGAGGCAGAGACCCAATTGGTCTCCAGTGTAATTTACCTAAGAACAGAAAGAATTAATTGGAAAATGTGGTCTCCAGGGGCAGGAGACAAGGAGGGGAGAACTAAGAGGAACTTGGGCTTCTCTTCCTGTTTGTTTTTGTGATTCTGTCCTTGTTTTCTTGAAGACCAGAAAAGGAAAAAAACCCTAGCAAAACCCCTCAAAAAACTGTGGTTAATTTTTTGTTTGGTTGGTTGGTTTTTTCCCCCTCCTTTCTCTTTTTTTTTTTGGTTCTCTTCTCTGTTTGTGAGTGAAGGATCTTCACACCCACTTCAACATTAGTGGTAAAGTCACTAAAAACTCTTCTGTCACTTCCCGCTGAGAGGGACAGCAGCCGGTCATTCCCAGTGAACCCTGAGAAGCTCAGGAAGTGCATCGAGTAGTTAACTTGTCAGTCCTAGGTCTGGCTCCCACATACATGCCTGTGAATCAGCAAACTTTTCCAGAAGACACCTGGGTTAAATTAGTGGGAATGTAGAGTTACTGTATTCCTTCAGCCTATTATATCTCTCCGGGGTCTCATGTATATTTTGAAAGCTGCTATAAAATAATCTTCTACGGTTTTGTGTTTCTTCTCTTTGATTCAGCCTGTTTTGTGTGTGCTGTCTTTAATCACTGCCTTTGCTTCGCTTAGCCTCAGTCCTTGTTCTTCTCACAGGTGGCCATTTTCTTGTGTATTTTCCATATCAAAGCTGTCTGTTATTAAAATTTAAATCTTTCTCTGCTAGGGGATGATAATAACAGACAAAAGTATTAGCATGATAACTATATAGTATGGTGGCAGTGAGATGCTGTTTGAAAATGGAGCTCTTGAAAGAGGGCAGGAAATAGAACAAAGGATTGGATCCTCACAGACCCAATACTGAAAAACTGAACCTTTCCCTTGAAAAGCAGGAAGATTTGCCTCCTGCGGCAGCATGTGAGAGGGGAATACTGAGCAAAGACCCACTAGGTGGTACTGGCAGGCAGCAGATACGGAGGAATGATTTCTGATGCCAGTCAAGTATTGCGCTGTTCACAATGTGTTGTGCAGAGCAACATAGCATCAGTAATACTATCTTTCAGAAGAAAACAGTTTAGTTCTGCAGAGATTCATGTGGTTTTCGTTTTGGTGGGGGAAGCTGACTTCACTCATAGCTAACAGAATCCCTTGCCTTGCAGCTGTTGTTAATTTTGGTAGGAATAATAATAAAGTCTGTGTATTGCAAGGCACTGTACACAGACATAATAAAGGGTAGTGGTTGCACTTTCTGATCTGGGGAAAAAAAAAAAAAGATGACTGGGAGTGGAGAACAAAGCAGGAAAGTGATTTGCCTAAATTCATGCAGCTGTTTTGTGGCTGAGCTAGGACCAAAATCCAGTGTTTTAGTTTCTGACAGGTAGTTCATACTTGCTGTTTCTTTCATGTTTTGTCATAAGCTCTTTTCATGAAGCTACAGCAGTGGAGGGTAGTAGAAACTAACTCTCTCTCTCTCTTTTTTTTTTTTTTTTTTTTTGTCTTTTTTTTTTGTCCAGGTTGTAATATTTTATGACATTTGAAGAGCAAACAGCACCAGGGCTTCATGAATTGCAAAACCACAGGAAGCGTGGCAGCCCCCCCTACCTCCAGCTTCCGTTCCTTACTGTGACATTCTTCTCAGGATCTTTGGTTTCATCCCCTCTGGGTGCGCAGTGGCCTGCCTCAGCATCAGAGCAGAGGAAGCAATTTGTGGATCAGGGAGAGCCATGGCCTTGAGCTTGTATGTCTTTCACCTCTTCTATAAGTTCAAAGTGTTGGTGCTTGTCACTTTGTGTCTGATGGTGCTATGGGCCACATTCAGTTACTTTGTGGACTCCAGACAGGAAATTTCTAAAGCTAAGAGCATGGTGGAAAATTTCAGAAAGGTAATTAGCCTGGAGGACGGTCAAAAGGAAGAGAAGATGGAATCAATTGCAAAAGTTCCCACAGTGAAGTCATTTCAGGGTCACTGCCCAGCTCTGTCTCCATACCTGCGTAAGTGATGGTACTTTCTTCTCCTTTCTAACAAGCAACGTCTGCTTTGGTACTGCTAACTTGGTTTTCTTCCTAGCCGTTTTACAGTTAGATGCTTTTTCTGTGAAACAAACACAACACAACCAGTTGCAGTAAGTACTTCTGGGTAAGGAAGCAACTTGTGGCACAGAGTGCCTGTGCTGGGCCTGGCTGGGATAGCAAGCCTCATGGTGCGGTGTCTTGCATGTGTGGTTAAAACAGCTTTGGTAACGCACTGGAGACTTGGCTACTGCTGAACAGTGTTTGCACACTGTTGAGGCTTTGTCTCTCTCTTCCCTGACCCGCTGAAATCTGGTAGGCTGGTGTTGGGCAAGAGATTGGGAGAGGACACAGCTGGGACAGTTGACCCCAACTGACCGAGGGGACATTCCATACCATATGAACATACTATTTATCATGCTCAGCAATAAAAGCTCAGGGAAGGGAGGAGGGGGCCTGTGTTTGTGGTTATGGCGTTTATCTTCCCAGTAACTGCTATACGTGCTGAAACCCTGCTTCCAAGGAGGTGGCTGGATGTCTGCCTGCTGATGGGAAGCTGCTTTACAGGGGAGTGCTCTAGCATGGCACACAGGGTTATGGCGTTTATCTTCCCAGTAACTGCTATATGTGCTGAAACTCTCCTTCCAAGGACGTGGCTGGATGTCTGCCTGCTGATGGGAAGCCGCTTTACAGGGGAGTGCTCTAGCGTGGCACATGGGTTTTCCTGAACCAGGGGAATCCTGAGGAGCAGAGAGGCCTGCCAGGAGCCCACAGTTCATGGGACAGCGGCTGGCGAGACCTGGGTGG